TCGACGATCTAGTAGAAAAATGTTAAGTATGTGACAAATGTATCGACAATCTAGTAGAAAAATGTTAAGTATGGGAAAAATGTCTCGACGATCTAGCAGAAAAATGTTAAGTTTGTGACAAATGTCTCGACGATCTAGTAGAAAAATGTTAAGTTTGTGACAAATGTATCGACAATCTAGTAGAAAAATGTTAAGTATGGGAAAAATGTCTCGACGATCTAGCAGAAAAATGTTAAGTATGTGACAAATGTCTCGACGATCTAGCAGAAAGATTTTAAACATGTGACAAATGTCTCGATGATATAGTAGAAGTTTTGTACTTGTATTTCAAAGTGATTCATAATGTTCTAATAAAAACAAAATACATAGAAGTTGTGATATCCGATGGATGCTACCAGTTTGACAAAACAGACAATGGTAAGTATTACTATTTATTTTACCTAATCAATTCAATATATATATATATATATAATATAAATTAATTAAAATGCTATTTGAAATTTGATGTTAAATGTAGCCGTCCGGAATTATTGTTGTATGAAATAAAACCAAAATCTGTATTCTTGTTAAATCAGTATTCCTTGTACGAAGAGCAATAACGACTTCCCCTGCCAATTCTAAACAATGATTCTTGGCATTGTTTTTATAGTACAGTATTGTTAGCTGGTATTAGTGTATAACTAGTGTTTCAGCTTCTATTTGAAAAGTGGTTTTACAAAAAACACAGAAATTAGTACATCATACCATTAAATTGTTAATGTTAAATACTTATTTATTTGTTAAGAAAATCGTTACACTTGGATAATTTTAAATAAAGAGCAGAGATTCCCAAACAGTGGAACAATTAATGAACATTTCATAATTATGGGTAGGAAGAGTTTGTGGATTCCGTAACAAACCTGATAATCAAAACCTTAAAAATTCAGATATATAAACAGGAGGAATATGTGTAAAATAAATTGAAAAGTCTTAAAACTCTAAATTACATTAATACCACAGTAATTTTATGTACTTATTTTGTATTGTCGAGTACTTACCCCCACCCTCTTCGATATAAAATTCAGGTGGTCCAAGAATAAAAACATCGGAAACCATATCTCTAGAGCTTAATAGATAGAGGGAAAAATCAAAAAGTTATAGCACTTAAGAATGAAAACATGGGTATATAGATAATGACAAATTGAAAAATACAAGTTCTTAAAGTCGTACTGTCTATAAAAAATTCAGTTTTAATTTGAAAACATTGTATTGTCTTTAGTTACTGAGACGAAAGCAATAAATAGTTAGAATTTGAAACTTTAGACTAACATGAAACAGTCATTTCCAGGACTATGGATTTGTAAGATACATTAGTGTATGTGTAGTCACATATGTAAATCTAATCAAATACACCTTAGTTGTGAAAAAAGATGCGTCAAAAAAAAAAAGAAAAAAGATTGAGCATGCCTGTTGGATATACAAGACTGTTTAGTGTAAGCGTTATTATTTAATGATTGTTTAGTTTTCATGACAGGAGTTTTGAAGATTGATTGTTTTAAAAGCGTCAGTTATGACAAATTTCGTTACGTAAGTCTGTACGAGTCGTACGTTGTGTATAAAGTTAATTGTTGTACTATACTTTAGTAATACTGTTGGCATCACGTTACTCGACCCTCCGTCATTTTTCTAGCCAAGTGAATATTGTTACATCATAGCGTCTCCTAGGTTGTAGAAAATTTCAGGCCTCAGTTGGGTTAGGTATATATATATATATATAAGTGACCGAGCGAGAGCAAGTTAAGTGAAGTGAAAGTAAAGTTCAGTCAGAGAAAAGTTACTTAGTGATAGAAAAGGTGAAGTTAGTCAGCGTGTGAGTGATCAGCCATATCTGGTGATATTCTAAAGTGAGTTTCACAGTATGATAAAGATAAGGAGAATAATTTGTCTTGTCAAAGAGTGTTCTAAAGTAATTGAACCTGCCTATGTGAACTTTGACGAAAGGAAACAATTATTTAAAATTCGAGATACAACTGTGGTAACCCAAGAGGTAATATAAGTGAATTTATCGCAGATTGTATAGTAAGAAACAGAATAGAGAAAAATAATTCGTTTTGTCAGTTGGATTCTAAAGTAAGTGAATCAGCTTGTATGGACTATTAACAAGAAAAGATAATTATTTACAGTTTTAGATACAGCCGTGACATCCTATCATGTAAATAATTTTTGGATATAAGTTTGACTTGTTTTGAATATATTATTTTAAAAACAAGTGGATTGTGTGCCGTTCGTTTATTGTTTGAATTTATTGCCAACAAGTCACAGACACCTACTGCAGAAGAATCCCAGCCCACATATACATAAAACCCTGACAGTGCAACTTATAGGATCGAAATCCATTTTGATATCATACCTTTAAGTTGCACGCTCATTCCTTTTTTGGCTACGCCTTTTTTACACCTAAGGTGTTTTTGATTAGTTATCTTGACTTTTTTTTGTCAATACACACCAACAAACCACAACAAGTAAGAAAGTGACACTCAGTAGTAACCAGCATTAGCTTTAGGATCGTAACCCTAATATTCAGAACAGACCTATACTTTACAGAACCAGCCAGATTCTTTAATATACAGGGTGATAGTTTTCTAAAACAGTGTTAATAACTTCCTTTATAGTAACGCCATGGAATCTAAATCAACACTTTATTGTCATCACCTTAAGCATTTGGTACAGCCGAATCAGGCATCATTATTTACCCTAATTGCTTAAGCTAATATTACATGACGCTAAACACTCTTAAATTAGGATGATTTCATAAAATTTAGCAAATTTGCGCTTCAAACTTGGCAAAGAATAATGAATAATAAAGGTTCACCCGTATGATTATTTTGAAAACTTGCGGTAGATACTAATAATGTAGTTTGCTTGGCCTAACCAATACTTATGTATCTGCACGTCCTTTCACTCTATAGTTTTGCTGATCTAAATCAGCCATCTTTAATCCAAGTGGCAAAAACTAAAAATGTTCCACTTTTATTCTTAGTTGAAGCTGTAGTAAAAAAATCAGACACATAGCTTCCGTGACGTTTTGCGTATGCGTGCATAAAAGTTTGGTCAAATTTGAGCGGTTTTTGTTAAATAACTTTGCACATGTGCCTAATTTGACGCCTAATAGTAGATTATGAATACTTATCAGTGTGCCAATTTTGAAAAAATCCATAGAAGTTAAGTATGTTTTTCTATCATATAAAGTTTCCATACTTTTGGTGCGAAGAAAAAAAAAAGATAATTCAAGCAAAATTGGAGATTTTATATCTCCTGTATTTCTTAATAAATTGGCTTGAAATCTGGTATGTGGAGTAATTGTCCAGCAAAGCACATCCACTGAAAACATGTGATAGTTTGGATTACCACAGTCCAAGCTACAGAAGGTGGAAAATCGCTAAACTCTCACTCCTGTTAATAACAGTGTGTCCTGCAGCAGGTTGTTTCGGCCGCACGACACACTGCAGTGTGTTTTGATCATGAAGCCTTTACTGTATTACAGTTAGTTAATTTAATATATACAATATGTATCTAAAGTTTGAATGTTTTATGTTATTAAAAAAACAGCCCTTTTCAGGATTTCATAAATTGTAAGTTAAATTATTATATGGATGATAAAACGTGTAGCCATGAATTACATAAATATGAATTTTATGTATTCAAATGCTTTTTTATTATTGTATAAAAATTATAAATTGAAGTGAAATCATAAAACAGAAAGTTAACCATAACGATAATTTAGAAATTCAATACGTATCTGCAAGCTTTTTTCGATCGAGATCAAACAACGTTCATTATAACATAATTGTAGGTCGACACAACTTTGGGGTGCCATCTCTCGGCACCATAGAACTATCTTCTTCTGGTGTCCGTCCATATATGGAACTATCCATTATATGGCGTCACTTTGTGGAACCAAGACACCATGGGTCGCGAGACCTCCTGGTCTCCAAAAGTACCTCCAGTTGACGGCAACTTTTACACCTCACCTCCTTTCTGCCCTCTAACGGCAGTATTTTGTGAGTGCAATACAGGCCCCCTAACTACTGATGTGACAATATCGGTCGTAAATATATTATTTAAACAATATTTGCGTGTAGTATGTGTTGGTTTTGAATTAAGCACTGATAATAAAACTCAATAAATATGATAACTTTTTGATATTTGAGATACTATGTGACTTTACAAAATCTCACGCAAAAGATGTTTTTTTTTGGAGAGTTAGGTGAGGTTGACATGCTTTTAAATTGTATCATTGTAAGTTGTTTTAGTTTTACACCACAAATTGACATTAAGTATTTTAGACCTAAAATGAAAGTTGAAATGCAACAACCAAGGTGTTTTTTTTAAGTATTCACTGTAATATTTTCAAGGTTTGACGAGGCCATTGTACAGTGTGAAGACAGCCCCACCACAGATCAAAGAGATGAATTACTCAATACATTACACCGACTTGAAGATGCAACAACGATTCTCCGACGACAACTACGTTCTGTTAAAAGGACATTAACTCGAAAGGATCGAGTGAATCCTGGATTATCTTACCGTTTTCTTCCTTGGTACTTTAAGTATATTCTACCTCTCGTCTTGTTATGGCAGGTAACAACTCTATATCATGGAACTGTTAGTTTCTGTTCTTAGCCTTCCTCAAAACAGACACACAATAAATTGTTAGATGTGTTATGGCAGGTAACAACTGTATATCATGAAACTGTTAGTTTCTTTTCTTAGCCTTCCTCAAAACAGACACACAATAAATTGTTAGATGTGTTATGACAGGTAACAACTGTCTATCGTGAAACTGTTAGTTTCAGTTCTTGGCCTTCCTCAAAACAGACACAGATAAATTTTTAGAAGTGTTATGGCAGGTAACAACTGTCTGTCGTGAAACTATTAGATTCAGTTCTTGGCCTTCCTCAAAACAGACACACAATAAATTGTTAGATGTGTTATGGCAGGTAACAACTGTATATCATGAAACTGTTATATGTGTTATGGCAGGTAACAACTGTATATCGTGAAACTGTTAGTTTCAGTTCTTGGCCTTCCTCAAAACAGACACAGAATAAATTGTTAGAAGTGTTATGACAGGTAACAACTGTCTATCGTGAAACTGTTAGTTTCAGTTCTTGGCCTTCCTCAAAACAGACACAGATAAATTTTTAGAAGTGTTATGGCAGGTAACAACTGTCTGTCGTGAAACTATTAGATTCAGTTCTTGGCCTTCCTCAAAACAGACACAGAAGAAATTGTTAGAAGTGTTATGGCAGGTAACAACTGTCTATCATGAAACTGTTAGTTTCAGTTCTTGGCCTTCCTCAAAACAGACACACAATAAATTGTTAGATGTGTTATGGCAGGTAACAACTGTATATCAGCTGTGTGAACAAAATATACTATTTAATAGATATAACCTAAGACATGCATAAGGCTCACGATAAACGTTGAATTATAACTATAATATCATTGTTTTACCTTTTGAAAAATACTTTGAAAATGGAATATAAGCTATAAACTACGCATCACACTAATATTTCCCAGAAGACGGTGTGTGCATATAAAGTGCATCCGTGTTGCGGTGATTTTTATCAGAGAATTTCAGGAAATATAATGGACAGTTGTTACCTGCCATAACACATCTAACAGTTTCATGATATACAGTTGTTACCTGCCATAACACATATAACAGTTTCATGTGTGTCTGTTTAGCAATTTAAACTTATTGTTTCGAAATGGTTCTTGGGACCACACAAAAAAATTTCTGGATCCGCCACACTTAACTCTTAAAAACGTATTATGTCTCTTTTGTAACTTTTACTCTATTTATAGATTTTATTATTATTATGAAGCAGAAAATTACTAAACTATCAATAAGTCGACCAATATTTCAAATGGAGTACCAAAGACTACGATTTTATGAATTGTTGGAAAGATAATTTCAGCTATTGTTTTAAAAGGGTGTAGATTATATATAGGTAAGAATGTTTCTATTAAATGAACTGACTTAATAGAAGCCTCCCAATGGCGGACTTAAACGCTTGAAACTGGGTTTCGATACTCGTGGTGGGCAGAGCACAGATAGCCCATTGTGTAGCTTTGTACTAATCTTCAAATAAACAAACAGACTTAATAGAAAGGGCCCTGGTCAACGATCAACGTGGAACAACATATTATTACATATGAGTCTACAATGTTAAGTAATCTCCAAGAATGAGGGAAACTGTTCTTTTTATTAAACTATTGTATGTGTAAGTTACTAATAATAAAAACTGTTTGACAGACAACGAACTCGTATTATAAAAATAATAAAACAAATAAATTAAACTTAACAAAAAGAGTTGATAAGAATGAAATCATGAAAATCACTTGTCCATAATTAAGAGTTGTTAAGCACGAAATCAAGAAAATCACCCCCATAACTAAAAGAGTTGCTAAGAATGAAATCATGAAAATCACTTGTCCATAATTAAAAGAGTTGCTAAGCACGAAATCAGGGAAATCACCCCATAACAAAAAGAGTTTATAAGAATGAAATCATGAAAATCACTTTCCCTTAATTAAGAGTTGTTAAGCACGAAATCAAGAAAATTACCCTCATAACAAAAAGAGTTGCTAAAAGTGAACTCACTAAAATTACCCTCATAACAAAAAGAGTTGC